CCCCAAAACCCCAAAACCCCAAAACCCCAAAACCCCGTTTGATATTAAAGGGTATCTAATATTTAAGACAAATATAAAATGAACTACAAAAACTAATTAAGCTGATTTTTGTTTACAAAATGACAGTGAAATTTAATCGGGATTCCTCCAGCTGAAGTTTTTCATCTGGAAGGACACTTTCAAGTCACTATTTGCCCTTAACAACACCAAGGAGAAAGACAAAGTCTAGCAATATTTTACTCAAGCCCAATTTTGCCACTCCTAAACAGAAGAACTTGGATAATTTACCTGGAAACAAGAGGACGAGGTCTTACTCTCTTAGATTCCAGAAGGATCATAACATCGGAATTCTTTCAGGTATGATTTTAAATATCACCATAGGGTTCCAGAACATTAATGAGATACTTAAGCAGGATCTTACCACAAAGGAAGCACGGGGTTACCTCTCTAAGATCCTGACCCTCACTAGGTCTGAGCAGGATATTTGGGTCTCAATGCTTCAATGTTTGGCTAAAATAGTGTTTACTAAGAAACCAAACGACTGTATGGAATATCTTGTTTCAAGAGTGTGCAAATTCTTAAATTATAGCAAACTGTACGTCCTTCATTATGACATGAGCAATGACAAGCTTAAGTAGATAAACGACCAGAGTTGAATCGACCTTCACCTTGCAGAGGAGGTAAGCCACCATGTCTTTATACAGGAATGAGATCTCTTTGTCGGTAGGACCCTAAAAGATCAGCAGATCACCTTATACTAAGCAGTTATGCTAAAGCCTCATTGCAAGATGTTGAAGAGGTATTTCCATTTCAAACCTGCTGAGATCTGCTGGGTCCAATGCTGAACATCCTGAGGAGCACCGCTGGAGTTCTGATGTTCTGTAACGATCTTCACGAAGTGAAGGGCGACTCAGAAGACGAGAGTTTCAAGGCCTACGCTTGCTCATGCATCTTCTCGATCTTCCTCCAAAAACTCCAGAAGAAGATGAAGATAGAAGAGCTCAGGGCCAAAAGTGGGAATATTTACTACAACTTCTCAAAGTTGATCAGCTTTGATGAAATCTGGAGGCTTCAGGAGTATATTGAGGGCTCTCTGTGTCAGTATTTCAGTGTAAATAGGATCAACTTCTGGATCTGAGATCACATAAAAAATCAACTGTTCAAGGTAGTCAGGGATGGAAAGAATCATGAACAGAAGATCATCAGCTATGAAAGCGACAAAGGGATTGCCAATTCTGTTGCAAAAGATGGAATCCCGATCGTAGAGAACGAGGCCAATGATACTAAATAAGTTCCTTGCTGAGTTAGACGATCCAAAGGGAAAATACTATAAGTTTAATCAGCCAGCAAGTCAAGTGTCTATTCTCTCAGTTCCAGTGTACAAATCAAGCGAGAGCTCGATCAGCTCTAACTGCTTAGGTAGGATTTGTTCATGCTCTAACAGTGCTTTAAGTGTCTTGCAGCTAATCAACAAAGACAATGGGACTCCATTCGATGAGAATGGCCTAGAAGAGGCCAAAGAGTTCTGATATTCCTTGGGAGACATCATCACAGTGGTCTCTAAAGCCGATACCCTCATGTCCATCAAGAACTACTTGGGTAGCCTCGAGCAATCTCTCGGAGAAGCGTCAAATGAAATGCAATCAAATGAGAGATACATCAAGTCTCTGAAGGAAAATATGAAGAGCATGAATAGCTACCTAAAAGGTGTGCTCAGACAATCGGAGTAATAAGATTCATCAATAAAATTTTGTATTAATGGGGTTTTGGGGTTTTGGGGTTTTGGGG